CGGTGTCCATGCAGTTAATGACTAATAGGATTACCAGTTGTTTATACCCGAGATGATCTGGGTTGGAATTGATCATCAGAAACACATGCTTGTGGTAAGAGGCGACTAACGGGATCGGGTGGTCAGGCTCGCTGACTTGGTTGATGCATGTCATCGTATCCCAATTAAGTATCACAACGCAATTGTCATTCACTGGATTGTCTGGTCCAGAGTCGGTTATTTACAGACCGCCGTCATATATATAGTTGGAATTTCGCCGAGTGCGGTGTTAAACAACAAACAAACCAGTTGTGTGATTAGACCACTGGGCACTTTAGAATACAACAAAAGGGATATGCTACCCGCATTGGAACCTGCAGTCAAGGAAAGAGAACGATATCAAAGAAACTCCATTCCGAGTATCTAAATAAGCCACAAACAACCTGTCCATAATCATAACCTTATGACGGGACACGATGTAGCCGTGAAACGTCGTTTCCAACAATAATAATCAATAAAAGTTTCATCTCTTTGTGTGAGGAGTTTTACCGAGGACGAGTTCCACGTTCAAACAATGCAGCCCAAACAACTCGCAATGTGACATTGTGTGTCTGGTGGTTATAAATAGAACACCGTACAACACAGGCATTGCTAGAATTGCCTAGAGAACAATTGCCAAAACAAACGTTAGCAATCCCTTAAGGAATTGTAGGCGCTGTGTTTGTCAACGGAAAACCACCACAAGGCCACAGTATTCAGCATTTGCGTCAACAAATTAATTTGTTTCTCTCCACCCTTATGGTCTTATCCCAAGGGAAAATATAATTGCGTACGGATTCACTTCGTATAGTCCATCATTTGTAAGGTTGTGTGCTCTGTAATAGGTTCGTGCATGTGCTGAGTGCTCGTAAACTAACCGAATAACAACAATACGATATAGTCTCACACAGTCGAAGTGAACGACACGCAGGACACCATCACGAGACCGATGAAATCTAACCGATGGAGGTTTCCGCCCATGGCCAGTACATAAGATAACTGATTTGTCCTACAATACGATGAGGGAACCATCTATCGTAAATTCCAGAGAACTGTTTCGTCGAACTTTAAGAGAAATCTGTTTCGTCCCTTTTTGAGAGAAGCGTTTCTTTATACCGTCGTATTTTTACAGAAAACCGTTCCATTCTATTTTCCCAAAGAACTTTTTCTGCTACATACTGGAGAGAATGGTGTCATCCTACTTTCTGAGAGAGCTATCATGTCCTCCATACCAGAGAACGTTTTGAGAGAACTGCGACAAAAAAACAACATTTTGCTATACTGTAGAAACGGTTTCATATTCAACTATTGTATAATATGTTACCCATCCTGTATACGTGATAACTGTTTCCATGTGGTTAGGTGAACGCTCTGTGGACATTGTGCCATCGACAAACAATGCATGTGTACATACCACTCTTCAAAAACAGAAACTCACAGGTTGATTTTTAATAAATTTATTGTACCTAATAAAGTCGATATATTTATAATCTATTATCATAGATAAAAATATAAAATTTTGGAGCTCGATAGTCGCACGTTGTCGTTGTACAAAGGCATTGAAAACTGTTTATTGTCATGCCACATAAGGCCACAAGGTTGCGCTATCTCGTGTGACCACCCCGGACAGCAATCACGGCTCTGCATCTCCTCGGCACTGACTGGATAAGTGTACGAATTCTGTCCTGCGGAATTCTGCGCCATTCTGCTTGTAACGCGTTGGCCAGTTGTGGGAGTGTCTGCGGCATGTTCTGACTTTGATTTACACGTCGATCGAGTCCGTTGCAGAGGTGTTCGATTGGGTTGAGATCTGGAGATCTCCACGGCCAGGGCAAGACCTTGATGTTGGCATTATGAAGATAGTCTACCGTGACACGAGCTGTGTGCGGTGGAGCGTTGTCCTGTTGAAACAGTTCCCTCTGGTGGGCAATGATTAGAAGAAGGTGAGGTTGAAGAATTTGATACATGCAGCGATTTCCTTTCAAATTTCCCTGAACCACAACCAAATCAGATCTCCCATCTCGCCGGTGAAGACGCAATCGTGATTCATCGCTAAACCATACTCGTCTCCAATTTCTCAAATTCCAAGGCTGTAAGGTATGGCACCAACGCAAGCGTCGCTGTCGATGGATATGTTGCGAAATAGAGACGATAACTGGTCTTTTGGGTCGGTTTCCAGCCTCGCGAAGATGGTTCAAGACAGTCTGGTCCGATATCCTCCTCAAACTAGGGATGCGTTCCGCAGTCTCCGTAGCTGTGGCATTGCGATGTGCAGGGGCGGTAACTCTTGGTCGGCCGGTTCTCGGACGGTCTGCAGTGGAATTGAACTGTGTGTATCGGTCATAAAGGCGGCAAATGGCGCTGTAATGTACATTGAAGTGGCGTGCAACAGAAGAATGTGATTCCCCTCTTTGGATACGTCCTATGGCGATGTTCCGATCGACAGCGCTGAGTCTCGGCATTTTCGAACTTGAAAAATGCTGACAATTGAATCACAATGTTTTGGCTTATGCTTGCCTTTTTATAGCCACTACTGCGAGTTACGAATGCCATAACTTGCACGTGCACTTTGCTTTACTGTTTTCCTCCATGACATTTTTGAACAAGTGTGAAAACAATTCCGTTTAAGGCATTCCAAATCGACAATGGCTTCGTTTTGACGCACCGTTTGTCGAATATCAGGCCACCAACATTTTCCAATAACATAAATCCAATTTAAATACCGGATTGTTTGTGTAGTCAGGTTCAATGAACTACATACTACTTGAGCGTTTCTTTTTTTGAAGAGTGTATATCAGAGTACACGATGTGGGTTGCCATGCAAGCACATATGCAAGTCATCACCTTGTGTTATCCCTTACTGTTTGTGTTATAACCTACTGTTTGTGTTGGAGCAAGTAAAATCTCTGGGGAGATCGCTATCACTGATTGATCGATACTTAAGAATCATTCTACCGTAATTACTCTTTTGTTATACTACCTACGTGTAAAACATTATCATTTTACCGAGATTATAATGGTTAGTTTAACTGTATCTTTAACGTATCATTTATGGAAGGTGGTTGTTAGCTGAACTACTGACGCATTATTTGATTAAATATATAAAGGGACAAAACCATTTCCATATCCAATATAAATCTCTGCATGAAGCAGCGTCGATTGTACAGTTCAATGAGCATGTGTTTATGAATCACTATCAAATAGTAATGATACCAGCTGTTCGCGAAAAGGTGAGCGTATCCTGTCCCACCGGTGGCACCCGCCACAAACACATGCAAAGACAAGTCAATTGTTCGCCTAAAAGCATGGGAACATATGGCAAATGATAAAAAAAGGGAATAGCATCGGACATCTGAACCTCTGACGTAGCATTGATGCATGTGTTGTTGAAGAACTGCATTCTATATTGACGTGATATAAAAGTGACGATTACAGAAACACAAAGAGGTAACGAGTGATAATAAATGTAATCAACAGAATATGTTGGTGGTGTATTATAAGGGTGCAAACAACATAGAAGGACGACAGGGGTAGTGAAGACAAATGAACGTTTGAGATCGCGATACCTGCAGGTGGGCATGCCCGTTGTCGCCTTGAAAGACAAAACGCGCACAAACGGCACAACTCTTGGCGACAGTTTGTTGTCTCGGTAGTACTGCCTAGTGACCCTTCCATGGACAATATGTTGTGGCGTTCTGGCAGTCATAGTGATCCCGCCCCATATCATTACAGACCCTTCCTCAAATCTGTCATGTTGCTTTACGTTGACGTTCTTTAGGTCGCCTCCAGACACGTCCACGTCTGTCCAGAAAGTTCAGAGTTAATCTGGCCTCATCTGAAAATATTTCACGATGCCATCGGCGATTCTCCCAGTTGGTATGCACTAAACGCCATTGGCGTCTGGTTGCCTTTCGCAAGTGAACAGTTGTATGATTGTATGTTTGTGTCGATTTCTTAAAGGTGTTTTTTTCATTTATCGAGCCAGGATTATGCTGCCTGGCATCGAAGCGAGCGAAAACGTACGTGTTACTGTGGACAATGTAAATCAAAAACACTTATGGCTCAGGGCGATTGGACGACCTTTCACTGAAGTATCAAAATCAAGAATGACCACCTACCCACGTGCACGGAGGAATTGCATGGTCCACGTGCAAGAGTTCGGAGGTGTTGGGGTGTTGGGGTGTTGGGGTGAACGAAACCATTGGGGTGTTGGGGTGGACGACCGGTCTTAATATTAATATTTCAGGGTCTCCTAGTTTGTGTCTGAGAGTATATTTACACATGATAGCCGTTTATTTCACTCAATAGTCATCTTTTGAACGTGATGATGGTCTAGTTCTGGTATAATATTGCAATGATTATTCTCTCATACGAAGATGGAGGCATGCACAGTTTTATGTTGAGTTCTGATTCTATAGCACATTGTTGCCTTGTTCCGTTTATTAATGGTTCAATTAAGCAATGGGCGGGAGGGTAGCCTAGTGGTTAAAGCGTTCGCTCGTCACGTCGAAGGCCGATGTTCGATTCCTCACATGGGTGTATTGTGTGAATCCCATTTCCGGTGTCCCCTCGTGATTTTGCTGGAATATTGTTAAATGCAACGTAAAACCATATTCATTCACTCCCACACAATTATACAATCCCTACAACAGGTAATTTGTTTCAATCATAACTCGTTGAAGACATGAGGTAGTCAAGTCGGTTGTCGCAATGTCTATGCTGTAGACATGCAGTTTAACCCCATTCCAATCACATGCATACATCTACACATTTCCACGTCTCTAATATATATTATTGAGGTTCAGTCAGATTCAGCGGGAAGGCTGCCTCTCAATCACAATTCCTGGCAGTCTAGTACACCCGGAACAGACACCTAGATCATGCCATCTCGGGCGATCAATGCCCTTGATCAGCATTCCTCTCTCGGGTGAGGCTTACCTACCTGGAACGCGACATACCAGTGCTGGCGCTGGGTGCACACGGTCGCAGGTCAATCAAAGAGCGGAGTGATGTTTCCCCGAAGGATTGGAATGTTTGGGAAGTCTGATGTTGACCACCGCCAGCGGAGAGAGTAAACGTCACGGTTGATGCATGATGTATGGATATTAACAGATTAACTCAGTCGTCTTAATCCTTGGTCTAATTATAATGTGAACCGTTTACGAATACCTTTCCAGAACTCAGATCAACGAATGGCAGCCACACGGATATATACATTTGTGACGTGTCTGGTAAGTAGTTGCTTGTACCAGGTTGAAATCATGAAATAATATATCTTGCTCCCGTGACGAATATACTTTACTGTTTCCACAATGAACGCATGAATGATTGTGGCCAAAAAAACCTGATTGACAGAATATTTGTTATTCCTTTAAGTGCGTTGGTTTAATTATTCTATTTTTTATTCATACATGTAGACCAGTGAGTGATGGATATGGATATTCATGACAGGTTACTCCCGATAGATTGTGTGATAGGGAGCATAACGAGCGGTAATAACACAGCGCCAATAGTTTACTGTTGATGTTCACAATACAAGACGAAGTCGTACATGTAATCGAGTGTCCATTGAATGATAGTGTAGGATGATTTCCCCATGCTGAAGTATTGTTATAATATATACAATCATGTCATGTCGGGGAATGGTTTAAAATCAAGACGTATTCCCTTTTAGAATTCTGATCTCCAAATTTGGCAAGTTAAACTGTTTTGCTATGTATGTGCATGAGGGGTAACTATAGGAGGCGTTGTGTAATAGAATTAGTGCAACGGTGCATAAACCTAGTCAGCGAATCTGACTACCCGGAGGCGTTGGGGACCAATTCTAACCCGGAATACTCACGGGACGATATAGGGTCTCACATACAATATAGATTTGACATGTTTTAGTGGACGTCATGATTGTGATGGTAACTGAGTCATGATATTTGTCCAATATACACTATCTGTTACGAGCAGTTCATGTATACAAAAGGACAGCCTCTGTTGTCCAGTGGATAGAGTGTCATGACAGGAGAGTGGAAGGTCTGTGGTCCGATCTTTTGATCGCGACATACCAAAAGACGTCAAAAGATCATACTCGTCGTTAACTTGCCTGGCGCTCGGTACAAAGGGAATAAAACAAGGACTGATCGACTCAGAGTCAGTACTATGTGCATTAATAGGGTATCCATGTTAAACTGCGACATGGTATCTCAATGGGCTAGCGCTAAAACAGTTACTGTATAAGTATGGACTAGAACATGCAGCCACAGACACACGTACATGCACGTCGTTTTATGGTGGAAATATCTTAAACGCGACGTTTGCCCAATTTGACATCACTATCACGGTTGACTGACCATGAGGACACCGGTCATACATCGTTCGCTCCACAGGTACATGTACGTGCATACCAGTAATACCTAATTTGTGGATGCTTTAATCCTTACAAGAAGTGGAAAGCAAAGTTGTAGCGATAATTACATTATCCTTGGATCGCTTAAGACTAAATCCCTCTTGATCTGAATACTTTTACTAACTCCCTAGTTGTGCAAGATGCCCTTAAGCTTCAAGAAGATCAGTCAATACGGTATGCTAAATGTAAGTATGTTTACTATGAACAATATAAATCTGATTAAACGGGATTGCAAACATTAAGCTCTTTAAAATGCAATATTTGATTCATGTTAATGGTTTTAACATCAGAAACTGTGACATTGTCTAGCTTTCAACCATTATATAAGAATCGTATAATTAAAGCGACAAACCCTTTCCATATACAATAGAAATCTATGTATAAAACAGAGTCTATTGTACGATTCCGATTTTATCATGAGCATGTGTTTATGAACCACCATTAAATAGTCATGATACCAAGTCGTCGCGAAACGTTGAGCGTATCCTGCCCCACCGGTGGCACCCGTTACAAACACATGCAAAGTCAATTGTTCGCCTGAAAAGACACGGGAACATATGGTACGAGTCAAAATAGGGCATTGCATCGGACATAATCTTATCACTGATGCGTCAAATTCGTAAATGTCGTCCACATGTCAACCATAAAACGTTTTGAAAGCTCTACTTAGGCTTTGAATGTTATAACCTTGATCAAACAACTTCTGGCGGTCTTAGAAATCTTGTTGGAAAGAGCATGCTCGATTGTATCTCAAAAGTTGTGAAATGTAAACACCAACGCCACCAGCTGCTTGAATATTGCTCGATATGAAGGGAAAGTTGACTATTGGAAAGTTGAAGTCATCCTTCTTGTCATACAGTCTTTTCACTCTGACACTCTTAGTATAGGTATAAAAGGTGAGGTGAGGTGAAATAGGGTTTAGCTTCACGTCCAAGATTATTGCATTTATATAGCAGCGTGCATGCACGTGTGTGTATGTGTTTGGCTGCTTGTACTGATCGAGACTAATGCCGATTTTATAGTTCTAGCCCACTGAGATGCCATGCCGCAGTTTAAGATGAATACCTCACTCAGACACTGTCTACTGAATCCGAGCAGACCAGTCCTTGTTTTAGCCCCTTAATGCCGAGCGTCAGGCCGAGTAACAACAAGAACCATCTTTTAGCGTCTTTTGGTGTGGCGCGACCGGGGATCAAACCCCGGACCTTCCGCTCTCCGGACCTTCCTCTCTCCGAGCGGACGCTCTACCACTAGACCACGGAGGCGGTCAGTGGTAAGACCTTCCAATGGACATGTTTCAAAGTACTCAGTGATATAGGCTGGGTACTGCCGCCAACTGCCAAAGTCAACTTAAATACCAGAGACTTTTATAACTAGCTCTCCAATTTCGTGCAACGCCCTCTGTCGACAGTATACTATAACATGAATGTGAGCGTATAGGTTTTAAACAGTTACTATGTTTATGTGGTATACAGCACTGACACATCTCTCCCATTAAACAACCTTCGACAGGGGTACATTTTCCTTCCAAATAGATACGTTCTCTTTACTTTGTTCTGCAACAAAGCAAGAAAGAAAATATTTATATATTTTAAATATTTACTATAATAGTAAGTAGAATTTGCTCTGGGAGAGGCACGAAAAACATGTTATGATCATTATCATTTTTGTCAAGACCATTTTTGTGAGATATGTAACTGTATCAAATGACAGAGTCATTAACTGAATACTATCATAATGATAGTTTTGTTTTTGCATCAATATCGATAGGGCTTTTTGGAAATCAAACTTCATAAACAGTTTGGAACCTTAAAGTCTTTTGCGGGGTGGAGGAATCATGTCATGCCCCACATGGGTCATGTAGGTGAAGCCTATTCTTGGTGTTCCAGTGATGCTACAGAAATATTGCGAAAATGTGCGTAAATATAACTCACTCATTCACTCAACGCATCACCACATTGTCAACACAACTAATAGATGACATTTATCAACTACTACTTAGTGCACAATCATCCGCTTCGTGTTTGTAGCCATAGTTGTAGTTTCAAGCGAGAATAATGAGTTCAAGGTAATTGCACCGCGGAGCTGTAATCTTTTCAATCTGTAATGAAAACAGTGTCAGATCATATAAAGCAGACCATGTGTGACATCGTAAGCCAACCACACTCCACACACTGTACATAATACCAAGGCCATTGTTTGAAATAAGATACAGACCAAGCACTTACCCACGGAAACTCACTAATATAATCTGAACAGCATACAATGCTATATTAATGGTACGCGCGATGAAACAGAAAATTATGTTATTTGAATCTTATCGGCATTATTGGCCATTTATAAGCTGTAACAAGAACCTATAGTGTGCTTTCATTATGGCGCCTACCTTTAAGTTTCGTAATAAACACTACAGACGTGAATATTTGCAAGCAAATATTGTAGAAAAACTCAAACTCCAAGTTAATTGATCATTCATTGCCTTCTAAACGGGTTTCGTTTCGGGAAGCAATAATGTATATTGCTGGCTTTTATGCTTCAAGCAAGGATATGGCTGAAATATTACCGATGTGACAACAACTTTTAACTCACTCAATCATTATATTGCTTCATTTCCACTCAACTGTGACATAAATAGCGGAACTAATTAAATAGGCAAGAAACAAAAGATGCTTTAATCATATTGTTATTTGCAAATGTACATAGTCAGCAAATACATTATGTACATGCACCTAGGTCCTAAGGATCTTTAAAAGGCCTCACGTGTGAACATGACAATGCAATTCTTTCATTGTTCTCTAGATCAAGAGACCCACGAATCAACTGCATTTACTTATATAAATATAAATAAATGTAAACATGTGCGCTGGTTATAACTTATTGTTCCATATTTCCAGAGATCTTGAATAATTTATACACACATTTTGCAAACATTTATATTGTTTTCTTATTTTTCATAAACACATGGATCTTACGTCATGACAATTGGGATATTAGCGAAAAAAACATGTAGCGTATGTCATCCTATTTGGGACAGCGCAAAAGTCTATATTCTTCCTCTTCTAAACAGAGCACTCAATACACAGAAAACACTTACTACATGCAGCACTTAAGCCTTTCCTAAGTTAATGAATGCCTAATGCATTATAGTTACTTCGAAATTTCAGTAATGCCTTCATATAGTTGGTTCCTTCCATTTCAAAAGCGCACTATTACTATTGATTCACAAACAATCAACTGTAGGACCCAAAGCTATAGAAACTCCTTTCTTAATTAAACCGTGGAACGCTCTTATTAAGTAATTTTACTCAGTGGCCCTGGCCCTTGGTATACAAATAATTATATAGACTTAAACTTCGGTTCTAGATTCTGTCAAATTATGCATTTTTTTATTTGTTTTAGTAAGAATTAATAAGGGGATGTTTGGTCCGGGACTCTTTTCAGAAGTTTTTTTTTCATAACACATACCTCTAATTATAACAGACTAACAGACAGACAGACAGACTGAGGGAATTGGAAGTGAATACTTGTGAATACCATGTAGATAAGATGTCTTTAGGATTTTTAATCCTTTTATTCTCTGTCACACAACCTGTTCAGTCTGTATCACAAAGATATCCAGAGTCCGTGTTTATCTGTGACAAGTTTAAGCTGGTGACTTCACTAATGATGATGGATTATAATTTTCAAATTATTATAGTTTGTCAAAATGTAAATAAAACTGCAATATAAAGTATTATATATTCAATGTGGAGAAAAGGTACACGTGGGGAAATGTATTATGAAGAATGTATTATGGCTGAAACCTTAACTTTAATCAATGGCCGTTAATCAAACTTTAAATCATTTGTCATGTTGGCCCTTATTGAACATGATGATAATGAATATGTTGATCATTTCTCATTCAAATTTCTGTTTGTGGTGAGAGGTGCTCGCAACCAGCACAAAGTACAACATAATTAATTAAATACATTGTTCCTTTAAATTCAGTCTTTATTCATGACACACAGAAAATATAATTTGAATCAGTGAAGTTCTACAGATAAGAAAAAGAAGATTAGATCACCAAATCGTGTGTGAACACCATGATCCATGAATATTCGGGCTCAAGCTTATTTACCATCACTTCTGGTCAGATTTAATCAAATCCGTATTTATGTTTCACAATGATGGTAGATTCAGTACACTGTGACAGTGAAGATACGTTTAATATTTATTCGATCCAATCAAAAGAACATTCGCACGTAGAATCTTCAGATAATCAAACCAATTTGAAATGAATAAAAAATGGTGATATTAATAACCACTGCAAAACGACATAATACAATGCATATGTCTTGCATATATTCGACATTTAATTGGTTACTACGATACGCAGTAACATTCATTTTAACATTTACGAGTTTAAAATCTACATTAATCCATACACGAGGACAATGTGCAGGAATTTCTACAACCATCACAATGTGCATCAACATGCGCTTCATTCTATCTACCATCACTGGAAACAATTGCTAAAGGATAATATCGAAGGATATATTCTGATCTGATTAATTCCAGAAAGGTATTTAACATTCCAATTGCATATTCCAAAAGCTCGTTAGGTTTAATATATACAATCAATGGATACCATGATGCGTTCATTAGCAATGGTGATTGCATGTAACTCTTATCGTTTATCCACCCTTAAGGTATATTAATATGATCAGGTGTGATTAAAATATAATTAGGTGTATTTCCGATATCTGTGTAATCTGCAATTACCGAGCAATGCATCATTATTGATAATTGTGTTATCTGCGTCTTATCAATTGAAAGGGATTTGTCTGATAATTAAATCATGAAAAATTTCAGTTAACAAAACAATAGGAATCTAATATACCTCAGATACCGACAACGGGTCAACTTATTATAGACATGACCGTGATATTGCTGGAATATTGCCAAAAGCGGCGTCAAACCATACTCACTCACACACACACTCACTGGACAGGACAACCAAGTGATAGATATTGTGAACAACGATCCACAGCGTCATTATTAGTTATTCGCGTATAATTTACTGAATAACGAATAAAGAAATATTCAGTTATTAGTAATTCGTCTTCCACACTCCTGAATTGTTTGTTGTGTGTTTATCGTGAAGAGACATCTCAGCTCCCAAGCACAGTGTTCAATTTTGAGACATGAGTTCTCAGTTCAAGAAGTTTTGCAGTTGTAGCTGAAAAATATCTAGTCTCAATACAAAATCCGAGACCCCACCCACCCAGAATATCAAATGGTCAGTCACCAAGGTACAGGTGGTGGAATGCTCATCCTTTTCTGTTTTGTTTCCTATCTGATATTATTAACTGCGCGACCGCCTCCGTATGCAGCCTAAGGTCGGTGGTTCGATACCCGGTCGCGTCCCACCAAACGGCGTTGGAAAATGGTACTTGTTGTTTTCCTGTCTGTCGCCGGCTTTAGGGGATAGAAGTATAGGACTGGTAGGCTCGGAGTCTGTGAATTGGCTATCCATGTTAAATTGCGGCATGATATCTCAGTTGGCCAGCACTGGCACCAAACTGTTCGGTGGATCTTGGGACACTGGGATTTCTAAAATGTATAACTTGAGTCTTGTCATAAGTTTCACACATGTTATCCAACATTTGTAGCAATTTGTTAAAACTATGTAATCACCATACGCGAAGGTGTTAAAATTAGTACCATCAATATCAAAGTCAATTTAAAAAACCGGGAAAGTCTTTATTGAAAGAATGTAACAATACAGGAGACAATAAACATCCTTGCTTCAAGCCACGATTAACATCACACCAGGATGTTATCCTACCATTTCCTAGGGCACTACATTTAACATTCGAACATGTTTCGATGTTCCATTGACACCAACATCGTGACGTTTATGCCACAGAAAACTTCTGTTGACACAATTGTAGTTTTGTTTAATTTTTCTTGTTTCTGTGATTGAACATACTGTGTGAATATGGTCCATTCGAGAGTTATGCGCCGGTTACCCACTATATTACCGTTGACCTTTTTGTTTATAAAGTATAACGACATATCTAATGTGACGTCAAGAATTAAAAAAATATGTGTGATAATGCACGGAAATGACGTCACGTTGAGAAGGTCCGCTTCGCGAACAGTCAAAACGATTATACGTACCTAAGGCGCGAATTAGCCAATCAGCATTAAGAAAAAAGAGCATAGCAAATAGCATTGTCCCTATGAGTAATTAAAACGTCAACGACTTAGGAATATGTCACAAGAAATTATTATATCTGAAATCCTGACATCAGATGTACATGTACACCAAACGAGTTCAGTTGGATATCCTGTTCATCCAGAGCATAAAGGCATAATATGCTTAACACAAATTTACTATTTCACATCAAAACGCATAATATGCATGCACAAAAAGAGGGGATAAACATTATCAGCATGCATAGTACTACCTAATATAGGATATCGTGTTTGAATTGAGTCTCAGCAAGATTTCCAAATGTGCTCTATTGTTTAGAGGTTAGAGTGATTAAGTGAGATATTACGCCGCTTGTAGCAATATTCCAGCAATATCACGGCGGGGGACACTAGAAATGGGCTTCACACATTGTACCCATGTCGGGAATCGAACACGGGTCTTCGGCGTGACGAGCGAACGCTTTAACCACTAGGCTACCCGACCGCCCCTCAAAATGTAAGAACGTTGGTTTGAACCATTATAAATGTGTGGCATGCACTGACACTGACATCGCTTTCACCAAATAATTATACGTCATGCTTTAATTTTGTATTTCAGATACTGTCAAGTCATGTGCGCTGTTGGCATGACCTGACAAACACAGACTACCACTGCTGGCCAATTGCAGCCAGCGCTGACAATCCTACACCCTTCGCGTCATGTCCAGGTGAGCTTATTGTATTCTCCAGCGACAAATCATGTTATTGACATCTGTTTGCAGATTTAACAAAGATCCTTCCGCATCGTGTAGTAAGATGAGGTATTCATCGGCTTTACAGCTTACTACAAAATATTTTATTGACTCAACTATCAGACCATGCTGGGATATAGATCAGATCGTGTGTCAGCAAGGCTCGGAGGAAATAGGATGTCATAAGATGGATGTCCAGTGTGTAATAAGGCGTCTCAATTCACTACAGATATGGTGTTGCATTATAGTTAATCTGCAAAAGTCATGTATTTGAAGATGTTTCGCGAACACCTGGTTTCAACGCTATTTGATAGTGATTCACAAACACATGCTCATGATCAAATCGGAATCGTACAATGGACTATGCTTTCTGCATATATTTCTTATGTTTATGGAAAGGGTGTTGTCGTTTTTATTTCCGTCGCTATAGACGCTACTGCACTATATATGTAGCAGGGCGTGGAGTCATCCCACAGATGACATCCTTACCTTGTAAACTTGCTGACGGGGTTAACCTCTTTGGTCATGTGGACAAGGCGTCCGACCTGTGATCAGAAGGTCCCTGGTTCGAATCCCATCAAGGGACTCGGAAATTGTATGGCTGCTAAATATATACCACGAAGGAAAAGAACAACAATGGACCTGCCCGATTGTTACAAAGTTGGGAAACAAGCCCTGTTCTTCAGAGTGGTCCTTAACCTTTTAGATGAGGGTGCCGTGGCAGAGTTAATTCCCAGCAACCCATGTTTGTGAGAACCGATGAGATGGACCGACTTGATACAATGTGACCTGGCTAGCTTAATATGTGCCATCATGGCCAGACGCCATACACGCAATCTGCCCTGATTCTATTTACAGACCGTCATCATATAGTTGGCCATGGCGTGAAACAGTATTCACTAACTTGACACTACCACCTTCCGTTATGTTGTTATGGACATGATCTAATCTTCCAATCCAACAGACAAATGCACACCAATGCGTTGAGATATATCAATACGGGTGTTAATAAAAACAGTACACAAAGTATGCTATTGTGCAAACGCATCGCCCTAACACTAATATGTGAAGAACTCCTATTAACATACACGAGTAAAACAGTAGTATACCTTGTCTTCTATGGTTATATGCCAGGGTGCCCTTTTACAAGGGATCTTAGCGCTAAGATGATCGTAACTCCCATACCTTAACATAGACTTACGTCAGTCGTGGCGCTAAGGTTTTGTTATGTGCAACGAGACCCAGCTCTCCTTGGTTTCAGCAAATAATCTTTGAATGAAATATGCATTGCTCTTCATCATCTGCCTGGTGGAATGCACGTTGTATTAGCAGCAAAGTGTGTGTGTGTGTGTGTGTGTGTGTGTGTGTGTGTGTGTGTGTGTGTGTGTGTGTGTGTGTGTGTGTGTGTGTGTGTGTGTGTGTAGGTAACTCTCATTACATGCATGTTAACCCAAACTAATTGTACGTTTGGCTGTGGCAAGTCAACATACTCATTGTCTATATACTAAGAAAAACAAAATTACTTGCATCAGACCGCCTCCGTGGTCTAGTGGTTCGATGCCCGACCGCGTCATACAAAAAGACGTTCAGAGATGGTACTTGTTGTTACCCTGTCTGGCGCTGGGCAATAACGGGCTAAGCAAGGACTGGTCGGCTCGGAGTCAGTATACTGTGTCTGAGTGGGGTATTCATGTTAAACTGCGGCATGGTATCTCAGTGGGCCAGGACTATAAATCGGCATCAGTCCGGACTAGTACAAGCAGTCACACACACACACAGACACGTGCATGCACGTCGCTATATAACTGCAATAATCTTGAACGCGACGTTAAACCCAATTTCACTTCACCTTACTCGCATCAGAACTTTCTAAACATGGCTCCTGTGCTGATCTAGCGGGCGGCATTGACTTCAACTTTCCAATAGTCAGCTTCATGTCGAACAATATCCCAACTGCTTCAGGCTTTGATATCATAACATACCGAACAACCTCTATGTTGATGACTCGGGATGACTTACGGTATGTGCACGGAAGTCGTGACGCGTCAGTAAATGAGCTTATGTGTGCCTAGCGTTAACTTAAACAGACATTGCACTCTGAAACGAATAAACACAGGAACATTGCGAAGACACATATTTATAAAATACCATTGCGATTGTAAATCTGATAGGATCTTCCGCCTCTAATCCTTGCCCAGTGAGTCATAATGACACAAACGCGCAGAAGTGTTAAAAGCTCCACCCTCAGTAACATTCCAACTAAATAAAATTGACAAAAACCCACGCAAATAACTGGAAAAACACACTTCAGGTGAGCCATTTGGGCTTTTGCTGTATCCACACCTACATTGACCGCCAGTCAATAATCTCAAAGCCTGCTGACAGCTCTACAAACTGAACCTACTAACCAAGGACGTCGGAATATGTACATACATCTTGGAATTTGTTCGCGTAAGGTTTTAAGCCAAAAAAGCTTAATGGTTTCCTCTTGAAAGAACATAATCGAATTATATGACGTGACATATTGACAGTTTCCAGTGTTGTGCACGAGGTTTACCTTAATAACAAACAATGCATAGGGCATTTCTGTCGAGGCATTGCCGGGAATTTAAAACCTTTTATCGATTAGTACAAATATGTTTAATGCTAAAGGTCACGAGGGTGATATTCTATTTATCACCCAAAATAATTTTCAAACGTTTTCAGTTTGTAATTAGCCAGTTTCTTCAGTGAAAAGGTACGACTATAACCAGCTTCAGTGACGGAGAGATTAATGATGTCATTTGATTATGATTATCACATTGATCTGCAAAGCATTGTGATGCAATCACTTTGCGGAGAAATCTCCTCGGATATATCGCTTGATCTCACCCAAGCGATAGCTCAAGTGGTAGTCAGTTTGGGATCGGATGACAAAACATATCTCGAAAACATGTTTGCTATACTTTGTGTATGTATGTATTCTAGCTGTTATCAGGATACCAATAGTGTGGACGCGTTATTTTCAGGTGACTCATTTAAACCTTTGATTGGTTTTTAACATTCATTAAAGCATGTTGGATTTGTCAGGGTTGGATTTCTCAATGTCTATGTATATCGAGATTATTATAGTGAGTGAGTGGGTTGGGCTTATCGCCGCTTTTAACAGTATTCCAGTTATATCACGGCGTGTCAGCTTAATGTGGGAGGAAAGCCCGAAGTGATGCAGGTCTCAGACGTTTACCACTTCGGTGAAACCCAAGGGCACGGGTATGGTGCTGACAAACCCAAAAACCGTAATCGGGGCGAACCGGGATTCGAACCCACAATCATAGGTTTCTGGCGTGCCCAAGGGACGCAACTCTGCACAGCGAATCGCGGCGCCTTTGACGACTGGGCCACCCGTGCCCCCAGAATATTATAAAAAAGACATGTTGTGGATTTCCCTGTGTAAGTGTATTTAGAGGGTATAATAAAAGCATGTTGAATTTCTCAAAGTTGGAAACGATTTTCATTCAGTATTTTTTGTGTACAAATTAAAAAAAATAATTGTCGAATTGAAGAGTAGTATATTTAATCAAGAATACCGTGTACTGGCGCAAACAGGTTCAACAATGATTAGTATGACTTAGATAAACGTCTTTGCATTTCGTCGACGATTCAGTATAACACAATCGCTTAGCCTGGATTAATGATGTAAATGTGAGGCAAAAGATGTTATAAATATAAGAATACCAGTTTGCATTGTCATTGATTTCTCACAACACATTGACCAAAGTATCGATACATTTGACAAAAGCCGTAACTGCACATTTTGCCGTTTTCGATAGAAATGTATGCAGTTTGACGACCGTTGCCTAAAGCAGTCTATCACTTCGTGTGTTCTGGTACATGAATAATAAGCGTTCAAGCAATCATAAGTGTTTTTCATTCTTGTGAAAGAGAAATGTTAATATTTGCATTGGGGTGCAGCCACGAAAGAAAACATTTAACTTCTTCATTCATGACATATTTTATTTATCATTTACATACACATGCATTCTATTTCAGTTGTATTCCACGACACAATGTTGATTTAAGGAATTTGTCGATATATCCTCGCAACCGTACCGCCTGTAGCTCACGGAAATATGTTGCATAATCCATCAATCAATTACATCATTTCATCGTTGTTGATACCGACGTCATTGGTTTATTGGATGAATTGTGTCGTCAAAGCAGTATTTGATAGCTGATATTATCAGTCTTGAGAAAGTGAATGTACATCGCCGATAGATCTCGCGGTAAATATACGATATGTATAAATTTAAAATAAGAAGGAATTCTACGATGAATTTGGAAATTACTCGGTTCTGATTGGTCAGTGCAGAAAACACCATATAAATAAACAAAGAGAATGTATTTTAAGTTTTAGGGACAACAAAGAGCTTGGAATTTGGCACTTTTCTATATACGACTGTGACGTCATATCGTTTGCGTCACAATGAGCAAAATGACGTCATAATGGTGACGTTCTGTATAGAACGAAAGCTTAGCTATCGAAAACAGCAAAGGTGCAGTTACGGCTTTTGTCAAATGTATCGATACTTTGGTCAATGTGTTGTGAGAAATCAATGACAATGCAAACTGGTATTCTGATATATAAACATCTTTTGCTTCACATTTACATTATTAATCCAGACTAAGCGATTGTGTTATACTGAATCGTTGACGAAATGCAAAGACGTTTATCTAAGTCACACTAATCATTGTTGAACCTGTTTGCGCCAGTACACGGTATTCTTGATTAAATATACTACTCTTCACTTCGACAATTATTTTTTTTTTATTTGTACACAAAAAATACTGAATGAAAATCGTTTTTCCAACTTTGAGAAATTCAACATGCTTTTATTATACCCTCTAAATACACTTTCTTTAGGGGTGCCCACCTCATGTTAGCTTTCCAAGTTGCCGTGCTTATATGCTGTCAATGCCTGTCACGTGTTCGAGTAATG